TATTGTTTCTTTAGCTTCTGTATTGCTAAAACGTACGGTATATAATTTCATTAAATGATCGGAGTGGCCATAGATTAATCTATGGTGGCCCATTTGCCACCCCCTGGTTCTGTCATTGTCTCTGGTCTAGGATAAAATTGTTCTCTCTATTCACCAGGATCTGTCACTGTGAGCTACCTCAGACAAGAAAAAGAAAAAACAAACCTCCTTCTGTTCTTCTCCTCAGTGTAACTCCTACCCACTGTAATGTTTTTAGTAAAAACATTAAGGTTTACTTGCATTCTCTGTTTTTCCAGTCCAGAAGCACTCATCTGAAAAACTACAAACATTCACTATTCAAATCCTTCAGCGATGGGGGACACTAGCTTAGCACTTGTTTAACAAGTGTATGAATTAATTTGAATAAATACTATTAAATAAATTAACAGTTATTAAATACTGAATGTGATATTTTAGCAAACTGTTTATCTGAACATGCAGTTCTATTTTTGCTTGATGTAGAATTTCAGCTGCTGAACATTTTCTTTCTTTGTCCTCCAAAATTTTTCAAGTCTAAAAAGCAAATGGTCCAGTTCAGTGTCTGTACTTGTATTAGAAAAGGAAAGTGCTGTATCGCGTGCAGAATTTGGTTTGTTTTCCTCGTTAAGCATGATCTCCTGTGAGCCAACACGTCATCTGGGTGGCACTGCTTGTGTTTCCAGGGCTACGAGAAAAATAAACTTGACCCTTTTGAATTCTAGAGCATTTTTATATAAAAGAACAGCTCTTCAGGAGAAGACTCAGCTGTGCACCTACAAGGGAAGAGAAAACAGCCAGCTAACACCCGTTGGTGGGTTGTTTTATGCATCTGTTCATTTTTTCAGGGCCCTCCCTCCCTCATGGGATATGTTGGTTGTGTTGGAAAGCTTCTCAACCCTTCCCCATTTGAGCCTCTGGAGGAGGCTGACCTCAAACATCTGCCCTTTAAGTGTGCACTCACACCAGCCCTGTTTAGTCCACTTTAATCGAACTCTAGTCCGTTTGCCTAGAATGTCCGTTGCGTTTGGGGAGGTGTGAATGTCCAATCAAACTCTGGTCCACCTAAAAACCTAGGTCTAGGTTAGGCTGAAGTGAACTCTGGCACGTTTTGAATGCGGTGTGAATGCAAGCTAACTGGAGACCGCTCCAAAAGCAGGAAGTGCACTACAGTGAAGGGCATTCTGGGTAAATACAACCAAAACAAACGCGCATTTCTCATACCTCATATGGAGCTGTCTCAGCCACCTTGTGTGAAAAACAACATTCTCCATGGTCTTCTGCCTCATCTTCTCATGCTGAGTCCATTGTTGAAAAATGACAAAACAGAAATCTTAAAACCGCTAAAATATGATGCCACTCCATTTTTGTTTTTATTTCCAGAAGTAAGTTGTGCTCAGTGTCTTCTACAGAGGTTTTTGTGTCGTTTCCTTCAGTAGTTCTTGGTGCAGTGCCACCACAGGCGAGGGGGTGGGGATGGGGGGAACAGGTTGGCTCGATTGACTCAGTGCAGTGTGAATGCACCAGCACCAGCTGAAATGTAAACAAATGTTATGAATATTGGTCCCCAATCGAACCAAGTCTACCGGACTATCCTGTGTGAAAACGACCTAAGACAGTGCTACTGTTGGCCTTGATGTGTGCTAAACATGTTAGTGATGTCCGTGTACATTCAGTGTGCCCCATAACGTTGTTCCGGGAATGTCCGTTTCTCACTGCAGCCCAACCCTGCTTTTGTGCCCAAGGTGGTGGGCTCATTTTTATAGACGATTATTTTTACAGCCTTTTCCGCACCGGAGGAACAGTGGTTCGACAAGCTTTGTCTAGTTCTGGCCCTGCGGACCTACTTGGACAGGGCTAGCAGCTTTTTGAGGAGCAGTCTCTTGGACAAAACCTTGTATGGACAAGCCTATCACAAAGCAGTGACCCTCCCTCTGTATAGTGGGAGCAACTCCCTTGGCTTGACCAGGTGTCTGCAACCTTTAGGATCAAAAGAGTAATTTCTAACCCCTTCGTTCACTAAATTAAACGTGACCAGAGCCGCAAAACCTGCTATAACCCATGAGCTACTTTAAGTTTGTTAGAGAGGGCTTTTCTGGCCAGTAGGTGTGAAATTATAAAACTAAAAACATTCAATGAATGTTAACATTTATTGATATTTTTACATTTTAAGACAAAAGAAAAGACTGGATTCCATCCGTCCGTCCGTCCGTCCGTCCGTCCGTCCGTCCATCCATCCATCCATCCATCCATCCATCCATCCATTTTCTTTACTCGCTTCTTCCTTTTCATGTTGCAGAGGGTCACTGGTGTCCATATCCAGGTTGCAAGTATATCATAGAACACTGGATTCTTGTAATGAAATTTAAAATGAAATGAAATTCTTGAAATGTAATTTAGAAAAACGGATAAACTCTCAAATCAAAAATTACCTAGACTCATTTAACATCTTACCTCTCCATCAATCTGGTTTCAGGAAACAACACAGCACAACAACTGCTTCACTGAAGGTTCTTAATGACGTTGTTGAAGCACTGGATGCTAAGGATTATTGTGCTGCACTTTTCTTAGACCTGTCTAAAGCTTTTGACACTATGGATCATAACATCTTGTGTCATAATCTCTCAGAAACTGGTTTCTCAGATCACAACATTGGTTGGTTCTCTAACTATCTCTCAGATAGGAGGCAATGTGTTCAACATAATGTTACTTCCTCCAGTTATTTAACAGTCAACAATGGTGCACCTCAAGGTTCATTCTTAGAACCCACCCTCTTTACAATCTACATAGGTAATGTAGGTCAAAACATCCCTGATGCATCCTTACATTTCTATGCTGATGACACAGTTGTTTATTGTCGAGCTAAAACAGTTGAAAAGGCTTTCCAGCTTTTGAAATCTGCATTCAAGTTCATCCAGTCTGATTTGTTCCGCCTCAAACTTGTCCTAAATGTCGACAAAACCAAAGGGATGCTTTTTTCAAACAGGAAGTCGGTCCCAGCTGTTCTTCCTCCGATTTTGTCCTCAAATGATGTCCCCATTGAGTTTGTTGATTCCTATAAATATTTGGGTATCTTGGTCGACTCACATCTTTCTTTTAAGCTCCATGTGGAAAACTTGGTAAAGAAACTGAAAGTTAAACCGGGTTTCTTTTTCAGAAACAGATCCTGTCTAACTCTGAATGCTAGGAAACACCTTATATCTGTGACTTTCCTTCCCTCCATTGATTACGGTGACATTATTTACATGAACGCTCCTACAAGAACCCTGCAAATGTTGGATGCTGTTTATCATGGTGCACTAAGATTCATAACTGGCTGTGATTATCGTACCCATCACTGCAACCTGTATTCACTGGTTAACTGGACATCATTAACTTCACGCAGACTCTCTCACTGGTACATTTTCATCTTTAAATCTCTTCTTGGTCTGTTGCCTTCATACATCTCTTCCTACATGTCTCTGCGTGAGTGCAGCTACGGAGTGCGCTCTCAGGACATTATTACCTGCAGTGTTCCCTCAGTGAGGACTGAACTAGGCAAAAGGGCCTTCTCCTACTCCGCTCCTGTTTCCTGGAATATTTTACAAAAAGATCTGAAGCTCTCGACCTTGACCTCTCTAAGTGGCTTTAAGAATCTGTTGGACTCCTGGCAGGGACCAATGCAGACATGTTCCTGTTTTTAGTTTCTACATTCGCCTTAGAATCTAGCTGGTTTTTTTTTGTTACTTTTTTTTGCCATCTTATTTGTAAAAAATAAATAAAATCTGTATGCCTTTTTATAACTGTTTATTGTTGTTGCTGTTGTCCATTGTTGTCATCTTTCTTTGTTGAAATCAGGTCTCTCTTGTAAATGAGTCCTCGAGGCTCAATGGGATTTACCTGTCTAAATAAAGGTTGAATGAATTTTACCAATTTTTTTGAAAACTAAAACAATGAACTGTGCAGGCTTATGTGCTTTTTAATTGTGGAGAAATTGAGTATCCTACTTTGAAGAAATAATGCATGAAGTTAAAGGGAGTATAATTTCCTCTGTATTATTACTAGAATCCACATATTTGTAAAGGAAATGACAGGATTTACCGGTCGGTCTACGTTCCTACCCTCACCTATGGTCACAAGATCTGGGTAGTGACCGAAAGAATGAGATCACAGATACTGGCGGTTGAAATGTTTTCTTCACAGGGTAGCTGGACTCTCCCTTAGAGATAGGATGAGAAGTTCGGTTATCCGGGAAAGACTCAAAGTAGAACTGCTCCTCCTCCACATTGAGAGGAGCCAGTTGAGGTGCTTCAGGCATCTGGTAAGGATGCCCCCTGGTTGCCTCCCTAGGGATGTGCTTCGGACATGTCCAACTGGGAGGATATCCCGGGGAAAATCCAGAACAAGCTGGAGAGACTATTGTCTCTTGGTTGTCCTGGGAACACCTTGGAATATTCCCAGAAGAGTTGGAAGAGGTGGCTGTGGAAAGAGATGTCTGGACCTCCCTGCTCAAGCTGCCTCCGCGACCTGACTTCGGAACAAGCGGAAGATAATGGATGGATGGATGGATGGATGACAGGAAAACTGCTTAAACTAGACATTTTGGTTGTGGGTATAACATCCTATAAAATTCAGTTTTATGTGGTCAAAGCTTGAAAGAGCTGCCATGGAGGAACGAAAGAGCCACATGTGGTTCCAGAGCCACAGATTGCAGACCCCTGGTCTATATAAACCAGAGCCTTCAGACACCTGTGGCCTGACTGTATCCTAGGCCCCTTTTAAAGGGGTCTGTATTCAGGACATATATGTGGCAAGTTGGTCCTCCTTACCATTTGCTTTTGCATGATTTTGCAAGTTTGACGTCTCTTTTCCAAGTATGAACTTTGCTGTATTAAACTCTGGGTCTTCTCTGGAACGGAGTGAGCACCTTTGAGTGCTGGTGGTTGCTAGAGATAAGGTGTTTGGAAATACGAGAGTCTGCATATCCCATAGTGAGACATTGAAATGAATGTTATGAAAATGAATTTTAGGTGTCTTGTGTAACCTCGGTTCTCAGAGTACCATGAGTGAGACGTCTCACCAGACAACTTTCCTTTGCTATTGTGAAGCGACATAACGTACTTAATTTCACTGATGCTGCATTGTGGAACAAAATACTTAGAAGGTGCATCACCAGACAATCAAGATTGGCTGGTGATAAGACAAACACACAGGGGAGGTGTATCCCACAGGAAGACATCTCACTCATGCTACTCTGAGAACCAGGGTTACACAAGTAACCTTAAGTTGTATCTTTTTTTAAATTTATTCAAAAGGGTACAAACAAATGTGACCATGTCTGTACTTCTATTTAAATTGAATCCACCTGTTTCACATGCACATAGATTTCTTTATTGTTGCCTCTTCCTTCATGTTATTTGCCCATGTCCTGAGAGGTTAAAGGCGTCTCAGTGTTTAATGTCTACATGCTCCTGTGAGTCTCAGTTTGCTGATGCTGTTGTGTTTGTGTTCATGCAGGAGTCCCAGATCTCCCGGCAGAGGAGGACAGTTGTTCCCTCGGTACCTCAGAACGCTGAGCAGGAGGCCAGGAGTCTGTTTGCTAAAGAGGTGAGTATCTGTGACTGCACTTTGCCTTTACATCATCTGACTTGTTAAAATCTAGTAAATAAAGGAGATATGAAATGAAACAGGAATTTATTCAATATTATTTTTCTGTAAACTGCGAACAGTAAACATGTTAAAATGCTGAAATAATGCACCAACATTAAAACACTCCCCTGGCATAACTTACACTCATCCATTGAGGCTTCAACTTCCAGCTTCTGATAGTGTGTCTAGTTACATTTTAATAATTTACAACTTCTTTTTATAAGAAAGTGTAGAAAGTAAGCCTCAGATAAACAGTCACTGTGTGAAAACTGTCATTTGTACCCAAATAATTCCTGAACTGTAAGCGTCAGTAGTGCCTGGTCGACCCACATGCCAATGTTTTTGTTTTTTATCAAAGTCTTTTTATTGATTTTATTGTTTTTGAACACACACACACACACAAAGAAAAAATGTTGAACAAAATCCCCTCCCATACCGAATCAGCCACACATGCAGTACATAAATGCCTTAAACAGGCATTGACATGTTTTCCTCGTATGACACAAAAGGCGGCCAAGTGTCCCAACAGAAGTTTCTTTTAACAGAACCGTTAAGGGTGTATCAAATTTTTCCCAGACAAATATGATACATCACTTCTCTTATCCGATATACATATGCTGTGGGGAGGTGGGGTGTCCTTCCAATTGCACAAAACAAGTCTCCTTGTCAAAAGAGAGCCAAAAGCAATCACATCCTTCCACATATCCCAGAGAAGGTGTCAAAGATAGCTTGTCAAAAAGTCTACAGTTTTGGGAAAGGTCTAGATTGTTTGCAGGAGTGTAGCTGGAGCTTGTTTACAAAGATTGCATGCGGGGTCCAGGTTGGCTTTGATCTTGGACAGCTTGTCTTTGGACCAGTGCAGCCTGTGCACCACCTTGAATTGAGTTACAGCATGTCTCAGACAGACTGGGGATGAGTAAATGTTCTTAATGATCTTTCTCCAGATTGAGTCTGATATGGATTCCTCCAAGTCTGTTTACCATTTCAGTTTAAGGGAGTCCAAACTGATCTCATGGTATGAACTGAGCAGTGTGTAGCTCTTGCTTAGTGTCAGACCTGCATTCCAAAATCTTGTGATGTTTAGAGGGGTTCACATGCCTATTTTTATGTCTCTACAGGTTGATGTGTAGAAGATATGAGAAGATAAAAAGACCTGTAACTTCTAAATTTAGGAAGTTTAGACAGGTTAAACGTTAGAATTTTTCCAGAAAATGATCAAACTTAAGCTGTGATTTTAGAAAAAACTGTTGAAGAGTTCAAAATGTCAGTCAGTCCAACATTTTTTGACCCGTTTAATCTTCAAATGATGTTTCTAATGTGAAGTTTAACTGATAGATGATGCTCCAAATAGAGCTGGGTTTTTATGTTTCCCAAAAATATCGTTGTCTATTTGGACATTTTTTTGTATTTATTTATTGCCTTTTATTTTTTAGGTTTTTACTATGTGCTGCTACCAAAAGTCATAGCTCGTTATTATCTATCTGTCCTAAGGTGGGACCTACTGTAGTTTGGCGTTGTCCGTCTCCAAACTGATAACACTTGAACATCAGAATGTCCAATGGCACAGCTGGACACCTCATGGGTTAAAGATGAACCCTGTTTATTTCAAGGCTACAAGCTCAAAGGTCAAAGGTGATCCAATTGGTAAAACCTTGTCTAGGTTACATTGGAGTAACAGAAATGCCCAAGTCTTTGTCCCCTACACTGTCTCATCTGTCCATAAACAAGGGACTACTTTACTCTTTTTGCATCGGCACCTAAAAAAACAGTGTTAAAAAAGCACCTTGAGTAATTTACCAATTATAAATATTTGTCATGCTAAAGTTTTTATCTCTGCTCTTGTAACTGTGTAGTTTGTCCCACTTTTTGTCATTTTTCCTTATTTCTTTGTTTCATCCGGTTCTCTGTGTCCACCTGTTTCACAGTGCATCAAGATGTACAACACTGACTGGCACGTTATCAGCTACAAATACGAGGCTTACTCCGGTGATTTCCGCATGTTGCCAAGGTAAGGAACATCAGAACTTCAGTCCGAACAGAAGTTGATTAACATAAGTCAAATCATCTTGAAGTAAAATGAGGTCAAGTCTTAGAACTTGTGTAAAACAGCACCACAACATCGCTTACAGCTCTTTACTGCCTGATATAGAGGATTTACAGGAGATTTACTCTGCTCATGTGGATTCGCTGTTTGGTGACCTACAAGACATCACATGATGTTGATGCAGCACCAAATCTGCTGCTGCACAGAAGAAGTGTTGCTCACAGACTGAAGCAGATTTTCTTCACTTAATGGTTTGAGGTTTTGACTTTTCACAGAGATAAAAACCTTCTGAGGAAACGAGGTTGTGACTACTGCCGCTATCAGAGCATACGGAACTGAAAATGGTGCTTAACTGTAAGATATGATACAAGTAGTCCCAACATATTAGTCATGTTACGATACAGCAGCTCTGATTGTTGATAAACTGCAAGACAATCTTCGAAATGATAGAAAATATCTAACTAACCGAAAATGAAGGGTTCAGCCAGATTTCATGTCGGACTGTGGGAAAATTGCTAAAGTTTTTTTTATATGGTCTATGTAAACATCTGCTTTGAACTGTAGATTCATTAAATATTGTAAGTATTTACTTCTGTTAACGTTGATGATTATTGTTTACGGCTAATGACAACCAGAATCCAGTTTATCATAAAATTAGAATATCATGAAAAAGTTGATTTATTTCAGTAATTCCATTCAAAAACTGGAACTTGTATATTATATTCATTCATTACACACAGACTGATATATTTCAAATGTTTATTTCTTTTAATGTTGATAATTATAACTGACACCTAATGAAAACCCCAAATTCAGTATCTCAGAAAATTACAATATTGTGAAAAGGTTCAATATTGAAGACACCTGGTGCCACACTCTAATCAGCTAATTAACTCAAAACACCTGCAAAGGCCTTTAAATGGTCTCAGTTGAGTTGTGTAGGGTGCACAATCATGGGGAAGACTGCTGACTTGACAGTTGTCCAAAAGTCGACCATCGACACCTTGCACAATGACGGCAACACACAAAAGGTAATTGCTGAAAAAGCTGGCTGTTCACAGAGCTCTGTGTCCAAACACATTAATGGAGAGGTGAAGGGAAGGAAACGATGTGGTAGAAAAAAGTGTACAAGCAACAGGGATAACTGCACCCTGGAGATGATGGTGAAACAAAACCCATTCCAAAATGTGCGGGAGATTCACAAAGAGTGGACTGCAGCTGGAGTCAATGCTTCAAGAACCACCACGCACAGACGTATGCAAGACATGGGTTTCATTTGTCGCATTCCTTGTGTCAAGCCACTCTTGAACAAGAGACAGCATCAGAAGCATATCGCCTGGGACTGCTGCTGAGTGGTCCAAAGTTATGTTCTCTGATTAAAGTAAATTTAGCATTTCCTTTGGAAATCAAGGTCCCAGAGTCTGGAGGAAGCAAGGAGAGACACAGAATCCACGTTGCTTGAGGTCCAGTGTCAAGTTTCCACAGTCAGTGATGGTTTGGGGTGCCATGTCATCTGCTGGTGTTGGTCCACTGTGTTTTCTGAGGTCCAAGGTCAATGCAGCCATCTACCAGGAAGTTTTAGAGCACTTCATGCTTCCTGCTGCTGACCAACTTTATTGAGATGCAGATTTCATTTTCCAACAGGACTTGGTACCTGCACATTGTGCCAAAGCTACCAGTACCTGGTTTAAGGACCATGGTATCCCTGTTCTTAATTGGCCAGCAAACTTGCCTGACCGTAACCCAGTAGCCATTTATGGGGTATTGTGAAGAGGAAGATGCACCAGACCCAACAATTCAGAAGAGCTGAAGGCCACTATCAGAGCAACCTGTGCTCTCATAACACCTGAGCAGTGCCACAGACTGATCGACTCCATGCCACGCTGCATTACTGCAGTAATCCAGGCAAAAGGAGCAACAACTAAGTATTGATGCTGTACATGCTCATACTTTTCATGTTCATACTTTTCAGTTGGCCAACGTTTCTAAAAATCATTTTTTTTATTGGTCAAGTAATATTCTAATTTTCTGAGATACTGAATTTGGGGTTTTCATTAGTTGTCAGTTATAATAATAAAAAATAAATAAACATTTGTGTGTAATGAATGAATATATAACAATAATAAGTTTCACTTTTTGAATAGAATTATTGAAATAAATCAACCTTTTCATGATATTATAGTTTTATGACCAGCACCTGTATGCAAACTGACCAACATGTCCATGTACTGTTCTGTGTATTCACTCCATACTTGGTCTGGGCTCATTTTGCTTCTTACTGCTTGAATGTGATGCATTCAAGTCAAGTCAACTTTATTTATAGAGCACGTTTTAAACAGAAACTGTTATCAAAGTGCTTAACAACAACATCAATGGGAGTAAAATTAATGAAAAAAAATACAATACACTAATGACAATACTGAAGAATTAATAAAAAGCATTTAAAACATAGGATCACAGAACAAAAAACAAAACACTAAATCAATTCACACTGTGTGAAATGCCTGCGAGAACAGATGTGTTTTTAGCAGAGATTTGAACTGAGGAAGAGAGGTGGCCTGCCTAATATTGGGGGGCAGGTTGTTCCAGAGTTTGGGGCCCATGACTGAAAATATCCGATCTCCTCTGAGCTTCAGTCTTGTTTTAGGAACAGCCAAAAGCAGCTGATCGGATGATCTCAGGGCCCGAGAGGGAACGTATGGTTCCAGAAGCTCAGAGAGGTAAAGGGGTGCGAGGCCATTTAGGCATTTGAAGGTCAACATAAGAATTTTAAAGACTTTCAGCATGGAGTCTGTTGGCCTACAGACCTGCTGAGGGGTTCAGGAGATCCAGGTTGCTTTGACAGCAGCCTTCAGCTCATGTGCACTGTTGACTCAGGTGTCTCTCATCTTCATCTTGTCTAAATCTCAGAGCTTCTCTGTGGGGTTTAGGTCAGGTCAGTTTCCTGCCAGTCAGATACTTTTGGCAGTGTGGGCAGGTGCCAGGTCATGCTGGGAAATCAAAGCAGCATCTCCGTCAATAGAGAGCAGCCTGAAGTGCTCTAAATGTCCTGGCAGATGGCTGCGCTGACTTTGGACCTGGTTGGTGGACCATCACCAGCAGAGGATACGGCTCAAACCACCACTTGCTAAACTTCACTCTGGGCCTCAAGCATCTTGGATTCTGTGTCTCTCCACGCTTCTTCTGGAGTTAAGGACCTTGATTGTCGAATGAAAACCCTTTAAATAGTTAAAATTTTAAAAATAATTTAAATTTACTTTTTTTATTTTAAGCTGAGATGGCTCTAAAAGACTGACTTGTTTTTGTGAAAAATAATATTAAAATTAGAAAATTTAATCAGTTAAATAAAGTTGTTGATTTTGTTTTCCCTTGAGGAACACTAACCGTCATAAAGTTAAAGGACTTCCAGGGTTTACCAGAAATAGATGTGAATAAATCACTCTTATGTGGAGTACATGTTCATGTTCAAGAGTTACTGACAAAAACAGACGAGCATCATAAACCAGTCTGAGATTAGTTGTTTCATGTTCAAACCTTGATTTCATAAAGAAACTGGACTTTAAGATGTGTTGCTGACCTCAAAGACAAAGACTAACAGGACATGCAGTGATTTATTTTTTTCTTTTGTGTTTTTTTTTTTAAAGCAAAGTCCTAAAGACAGACAAGCTGCCAGCTCATGTGTTCGAGGTTGATGAAGACGCCAAAGACGAGGTGAGAGCCCGAGTGCCAAAGAATTGCAGACGTTGATCTCGACAGGTAGGACGAGCTGTCGGTTGACTCAGCTGTTAATGTTCAGATAGCACCATGTCCATGTCAAGGACTTCTAGTGGTGTCCTGCACAGCTGGTTCAGAGATGGCACTGCTCAGACAGAATCGTAACAGGACTGAACACACACCCCTGTCCTGAAAATAGTAGCTAACATACAATCGTTGCTGTTTCTCTGTATTCCAGGAGAATGGGCAGAACATACGTGACTTACGATCTGTCAGTCGACCGTTCCACCCCTCTGAGAGTGAGCAGCCATAAGCTATGAAACCAGAGACCATATATGTCCTATAAATAGATCTCATCGACCTGCCTCCTTCTGGCCTCTGGATGGCCGGGGATAAACAGACAAAGAAAAGGTTTAACTGAGTTAACGCTGTTTGGCTGCTGGGACAACAGTTCAGGATTACCACTCTCTGCTAACATCACCTCTGCATCACCTTTTGTATCTTCAATACCTTTAGAACAAACATTCTTTATGTGAACAAACAGAAACAAGCATGGATGATAAGATAACTCAGTGAGATGGGAATGATCTGCGATTAGTTTCTTCATGATGGTTAGAAGCTGTGTGTCGCTCTGGATTGAGAGATGAGAATGAAGGATGGGCATTCTGCAGGAGGAAGGCAGCCAATCAGACTGGAGGACAAGGCCTCGTGCAGAGGACTAAACAGCATCTTAATGTGAACACATTAGTTTCTACTGGGAGAGCAGTACACCCATCCCAAATTCAATTCAGTTTATTTATATGGCGCCAAGTCACAACAGAAGTCATCTCAGGGTACTGAACAGAAACATTCATGTTCATAAAAAGTCAGTTAATATCATTATTTATCAGAGGAGCAAGCAGATTGAGTCTTCACTTCCTCACAGTCTCCCATCCAGAGCAAGCACAATGGCAACAGTGGAAAGGAAAAACTTCCTCATGAGGAAGAAACCTCCAGCAGAACCAGGCTCAGGACAAGCGGCCATCTGCTTCAACGAGCTGGGTTTGAGAGGACAGGAAGGAGGAACAGATACACAATGGCAGAACCAAAATGGAGGCAAGCAGGATTTTCTCTAGGAGGAAATACAAAAATCATGTTTAGAAATAATTCCAAATACAAACTATTCATTTGATGAAATAAGGTCAGTTTGTCCTCCAGCTGTCTAAGCATATAGCAGCATAACTAAGGGATATCTCAGGAAACCAAGCCACCTTAACTATAGGATTTATCAAAAAGGAAAGTCTTAAGCCCAGTCTTAAAACTGGACAATGTCTCAGCCTCACGGACAGAAACTGGAAGTTGGTTCCACAAGAGAGGAGCCTGATAACTGAAAGCTCTTCCTCCCATTCTGTTTTTGGAAACTCTAGGAACCACAAGTAAACCTGCATTTTGAGAGTGAAGTGCTCTGTTAGGAAAATATGGAACACTAAGATCTGTAATATAAGATGGAACTACAATAGGTTGTTGAGAGCTTTGTAGGTTAGAAGTCAGACTTTGAATTCAATTCTGGATTTGACAGGAAGCCAATGGAGAGAAGCTAAAACTGGAGAGATATGACCTCTTCTTCTAACTCCAGTTAAGACTCTGGCATCAGCATTTTGGATTAACTGAAGACTTTTTAAAGAAGTACTTGGACACCCAGATAATAAACCTTAAACAAACTAGTCAAGGAAACACTCGAGCACACGGCCGATGATTACAGAAGGTTGATGACGTCACGCCAGGAGTGTGCGTTCAAAGGGCAGGAATGTGTGTTCACAGGCAGGAGTGTGTATTCACAGGCAGGAGAGTGTATTCAAAGGCAGAAGCGTGTGTTCACATGCAGGAGTGTGTGTTCACAGGTAGGAGCGTGTGTTCACAGGCATTATTGTGTATTCACAGGCAGGAGTGTTGTGTTCACAGGCAGTAGCGTGTGTTCACAGGCATTATTGTGTATTCACAGGCAGGAGCGTGTGTTCACAGGCAGGAACGTTCACACGCAGGAGTGTGCATTCACAGGCAGGCATGTGCGTTCACATGTAGGAGTGTGTGTTCACAGGCATGACTGTGTGTTCACAGGCAGGAGTGTATATTCACAGGAGGAGCGTGTATTCACAGGCAGGAGTGTGCGTTCACAGGCAGGAGTGTATATTCACAGGCAGGAGCGTGTATTCACAGGCAGAAGTGTGTATTCACAGGCAGAAGTGTGTATT